TTGGCAAGTAAAGGGTATACCGCACCTGCTCCAAAGGTACTGGGTTGCCCCTGGGGATCAAGGAAGAACCTCCAGTCATCCCCATGAATTGGTCCCCTTGGCCACAAACAGCGTCAACCTAAATCCCAAAAGGCCCCGAAGGCATGAGGGACCCCCAATTGCAGTCACACAAATTTCAGGGGCGGAACTCCAAAACTCAATGTTCACATATTCATGTGTCCCGGCCTCAAACCACATTTTCTCTACCTTAAACATCTCCTTCTTGGCTTGTTTTATTTTTTTGGGGGGGGGTCGGCCACAGCCATGACGGCTGACCATTTTTCTTGCAGGGCCATGCCAGGCCGCAGCTCCCGTAGCAGCGCCGTCTTCACCGCGGAGGCGGCCTTGCCTCCCGCTGCGTGCTGCTGGGTGAAGAGCGCCATGTGCTGGCGCCAGACCTCCCGCTGGCGGAAGATGTACTGCTGGACCTTGACGTAGAAGTCCTGCTATTGTAAACCGCTAAGCTAGGGATGTTGTTCTATCAGGGCTGGGCAAAACTTAAAGAAACGAAATGGAGGTTGCTTGAACAGGGCCCATCTCTGGCCCAACCACCAACATCAGAATGAGGTAAACTACGAAACGGCCACTTGTGCACATAGAAGCCCTGACAGACGTTGCCTTGTTGGTTGATTTTGCCCTTGTGGGTCTGAAGGCATTCCCATCAAACCACCACCAAGGGAACATGAGGTATATCATATTCCTTGGCCATGCGTGTTAGCTTTGCCAACTTCCAGAACTCTCCTCAACAAAAAATATCTGATTTACTCAGCTTGCGCGACTGCAGCTCGTTTAGAGGCTGCCATGTTTTTTCAGCAGCATGTTCAAGGTGCAAAATGTGTCCATTAACATCCAATCAGGTAGCACAGTCCGCTCTGTCCTGGCCAGCGATGGCGCCTGCGATGAGGATGCGCACCAAGGACAAGCGCAAAGCGCGGTAGCTGAAGGGGTCCCTCCAAGCACCCTTCCTCTCGTCGTTGGAAAGGCACACCAGCTCCCAGTAAAGGTCACACCTAACATGCTGAGCTCGTCCCACGTATGTTGCATTTGGTCAGTTCGCTACAAAGAGCCTCGACCTACTTAAATTCGCCCCTTTAAGTTTCAGTACATCAGCACGACAAAGGCCCAAGCATTTGCAGCTTCAGAGAAGGCACACAAAGTCTGTTTGCTGCGTGGTCTCGGCAAACTCCAGGAGAAACTCGAGTAGCGGCCGCCTGTACTGCGTGCACTGGTCTGTGACTGGCACCTTCCGTGGGACTCGCCACTCGCGAGTATGGCAGTCCCACTTCAGAGCCAGCGCCAGCTGCGGCATGATCAACTTCAGCACCCCCTTGGTCTTCACGTTCTCCTGCCAGGGCCTAAACATGTTTCATGCTCCCTCCAAAACATTCCCTCGGCTTGAAATGAAGGAACAACCGGCGCGTCCGCACCTGGGTGTAGCGCCTCCACTGGGTACCGTCCGACCAATCGATGATTTTGCCGTTGAAAGTGCCACGACGGTCGTCCGACATCTCCAGTTGCCCCCGCACGACGGTGCCATAAACCTCCGAAGGCATCCGCACATCCTCTGACAGGTAGACCTCCGCATCCGGGGGGATGTCGATGTCCCCCAAAGGCACGCAGCGCAGCGTGCCGTTCTCCGTGATCACCATGTTGTACTTCAATCCCTGCTCGTCCTGGCCGTGTCACGTGAAAAGCAGCTCCAAAGCTGTCCCTTCCATGATTTCACTTTGGGTTGGGGCCCGCCTCAAAAAGGCCATCCCAGGGGAGGGCATGAAGCCACAGCTCGTCCACGATGGAGCCCATGAGCCGCTTCCGGTTCTTCGGGTGGCCCGCTCGGCTGAGCATCAGCAGAAGCTCAAAAATACCTGCCAGCAAAAGCCGGAGACGATGGCCGGGATTGTGGAGTGGGACCTGTCACACCTTCACAAGCAATCAGCAGTTCTCCCCCCCGCCGGCCCAGGTTGCGAGCGAGCCTTCCAGCCCCTGCAATCGGCGCTCGTGTCGGCTGGGGCTGGTGCTGCCGGATCCAGGACGTGTGGACTCCGCGCTGGGCATGTCGCTGGGCACTGCGCCGTCCTGTGATGCGACAAGAACACACCCACTAACATGAGATCGAGTGGACAAATTTCACCCCTTTACGATTTAGACGCCAAGACTCGGATCTTCTATGCGCGTACAGATCTAATCCAACAACATAAAACCCCGAGTCTCTTCCATGGATCCAGGGTCCACAAGTCGTGACGCCACCAACCCCCCCCTTCTGTTCCGCTCATCCGCTCGAAGCCCCGCGGCGGAAACCACGCGCCTGAGGGGAGGAGAAGCGCTGGTCCTTCTCGCGGCGCCTCTCGGGCACCAGGAAATAGACGATGAGAGCATTCAGCAGCAGCGCGAAAAGGCAAAGACTGAAGAGGAAGTGGATCTGGTTCCTGAAGTCTCAATCGGGATGGAATCCATTTGGTCAGGCCAAAGGGAAAATGGAGCCATAAATGGAATTCCGGAGGTTGCCCCCCGTTTCAAGTTTTACTTGGAAACAAATAATCATTTCCATGCTCCGATCCATTGAAAATGAAGCAGCCATGTGGGTAAACAAATGGTCAGAAGCAGGGCGCATGCCCTGTGCGCCCACGTAGCGAAATCCGCTTTACCCACAGGGCTTTGCGCATGCTAGATGTCACGAAGAGCCTTCTGGAGAGAGGGGTGAGAGCTCCCCGAAACCCAGCCTGGAACCTTGGCCCAAATGGGATCCACAACTGGCTTTGTGTAAGACCTCCTGGGCTGGAGGGGGGGGCGGTGCTCACTCGCATCATCACTTGACCAATCCCAAGGGGCAGCCAAGGCTCTTGGGCATCTGGGCAAATTGCGGGTTCACGTTCCAGTTCGTGGGGGTCAGGATGGTGGCCTGGCGGATGCAATACCACATTACCGCGAACTCCAAGTACTTGATGACATAGAAGACCTGGTTCACGTAGAGAAAATGCATTCCTACAGGGAACGCAAGGTTCGAACAGATCGCGACCCACCTTGGGTTGCAGTTTCTTTACCAGTATCAGTCAATCTTGATCGCCATGCGCCCTACATGCACCGTGCTCGGTGCCAATTGGTGCCAGCATGCACAAAGTGCTTCGTGGCGAAAACAAGGCACGAAAAGTTTTTAAAAGTCAGCTCCAATTCGCCCTGCCTGGGTCAAAGAAAACGATGTTCACGAAGAACAATTGCAAGGACACCTCAGGCGGGCAAATTTCAGAAGTTGGGAGCTGCTGTAAACGTGGTCAAGGATTCCCTGCTCTTATTGGGCACCAGGAATTGCCATGCTGGACCTTCCTTCCCGTTTGAAGGGAAGATTGAGGGTTCCTGCTTCCACCGCAGGACAAACACAATTTTCTGACAGAAACACCAGGCGCATTGCAACGTTTGGACAACCAAATGGCTCCCATTTTGGCAACCATACGGATGCCATTAGCATCCTTCGTAAAGACAATTCTAAGCGCCAAGCAACCTAACCATGGCACAGGGCAGGACTTACCGCTTCCGAGAACAGTCTGATTGAAGCTTATATGGGCTGACACCGCCCGCGGAACGTTCTCAGACTCCATCCGAGGGTTGCCATTGGTGCATCTGCAATCTATCCGTAGTCTTTACCGCGCTGAAACGGATGCCCAGGCGCAACGATGGAGAAGATGAGGTTCGCGCACCGCGGGGCAACCCGGGAGCTGGTAGATCGATCCCCAAGGAGGGCGCGCTTGTGCGCCCGGGCGATGCGAAGGAGAGCGGACGTGCTCCTGAGTAACCAGAAGGAAAACAGGGCCTCAAGTTCAAGCATTTCTATGCCGTTCTTTTCCGTTCTTGGTTGTCTCTCTTTGCATTTTAGGACAATGGGGGGGCAAATTCCAACCTCTTCCGCTCTTCACCGCTCTGCCCCAGTTCCTGCTGCTTTGTTTTGAAAGGGCGCAACTGAAGCTAAGCATGGAAAAAAGCTTGCCACTGAGCCGGGGCTCAGCATGTCCACGCTGAGGAGCAGTACCAAGGGCCAATCGCCGTGCTGCGCTTGACAGGCGAAGTGAAACAGGGCCACGGTGGGAAGCCTCGAAAGGATCTCGGCGCAGTAGTGTGCCGTTACCAGCTTCTTGTTCCTCCGCACAAAGATGTCGTCCACCCAAATGTAGAGGACAAAGTCGGCAATGCCGAAGCTTAGTGACAGAAACCCAGCAACGAAAACGAATCCCAGCCGCCAGTGGCTGGAGGGAGTAAAAGAGAGAGGCCCACTTCCTGCAACGAGGAGACCAATGTGAAACCAAAGAGAGATGAAGGACTGTGGAATGTTGCAAATACTGAGCTTCCGAACTCCGCGCATGGCGTTCTCGCCAGGGCTACCCTTTGGCGGGTTCGAGCTAGGATCGGGCGTGGACGCCAATGGCAGCAACGGCTGCTGGGCGGACCCTTCGAGTTTGGGCCTCGGCCGGCCGCCGGAGATGACCTTGTCAACCATCTCCCACATGGCTGCGATTTGCAGGCATGAGGTCACCACTGCCACCCAGAAACCATGGGGGCGATGGCCGCGCAAGCCGGACCAATGGGCACGCATAGTCACAATCCACAAGAAGGTCGTGAGGATAAGTCCGAAAACCATGGGCCGGATGGAAGGCGCCTTGGCGCATCGCTTGCTCTCGTAGCAGACATAGATGGCCGCAACGTCAAGCAGGCGCTGCGTGGTCAGGAAGATGGCACGAGAACTGAGGCCCAGAACGCGGTTCCACGACTGCCAGTGCATGTCTCCCTCCAGGAAACCCAGTGGCTGGCAGCTACTCACTGAATCACAGCTTGGGCCGGAAACCCTGCATGCAAGCCTTACTAGAAGGATGGCAACCCTGCACAAAAGAACTGCCAAACCACCAAATGCAAATCCCCGACCCGCCAAAAACGGGTTCATAGCTGGCCATGCGCAAAGGTCGAACATCCCTTGCCTCCTCGTCCTGGAGGGAGGAGTTGCCTTCGAAGCGGGAAGGGTCCAACAGCACCACCGCTCCGGTGAAGTTCACGGACCCCAGCAGCGCCTGTCTCTCCCCAAACCCAGCCTACCTGGAATGCGTCCATGCACAAATTTATGCCATATCTACCCATGAGGGACCCTGGTGACATTCTGTTTGAGCTGAGTTCCGGCCGCTCTGAGTGAGCACCGGCAATGCTTCCTTTGCCTACAAATGATTCCGCAATCCAGATCTGCCTTGGAAGACTTCCCCGGCATGCCCACGGCCAGCTTTCCAGCAACAGCGGCGCAGGAGTGTCCAAAGCGGCCATGGGGCTCTGAGGCTGTCCTTGCAAGCAGCTGAAATGCCTTATCTAAATGAGCCCTGCCGCGCCTAGCTCTAGTCGGGGGATGGCCAGGGTTCTCTGCAATTGCTGAAACATTGCGTTATGGGGCGGATGGATGACCATCCAACTCATTAACCTTCACCTGCCCTAATTTTGGTTCCCCAAGAGGGGTGGGACCCCAGTAGAACTAGGGAAACGGTTTTCTGGGCAAGGCACACCCTCGACACCAAGCGCCCACCCCTGACGGCATAGAGTGCCCCAGCGCCCGAGCTGGCGTTCTGCGGGTAGAAGCCCGGGGCCCCAATCAAGAGCGTATCACCTCCACGCAAACATGCCTTTGATAGGTGTTGGGATGTCTTGCTCATAGCCAGCTTCTCCCAACCCCATAGAATATACCTTTTGAGGAGCAGAAGGCATTAGCATGCATTAGCTTTTGCTGGTGGTGCCGAGCACTGCCTCGCCTAGTGTGCAAAGAGCGCTGCCAAACTTCTCGCCATCTTGCCAGCCCTCGTACGAGACTTCTGCCTGAACCGCTCCATTTCAATCACCATGCTGCCAAAAACTATCCGAAGGCTCAACTCACATCAACTCAGCATAAAGGGCAATTCCTATTGCAGCATCAGGCATGCCAAATCACCTCCCTCACAACCCCATTCAAACTGCCCAAAAGGCCTGTCTTTGGCAATAACGGCTTGCGTCATCACTTGCATGCCGCCGTGCCTCCTCTGGCGTGGTCACGGCCCCGCGCCGCGGTTGGAAGACGTGGACCCTGCCGGGGCGCATCTTCTCCGAGTCGTCGCGCCCGAAGTAGGGGGACCCCACCACCAGGCGGCTGCCCAGCGCCAGCAGCGTGTGCCCGAAGACGTCCGCATAGCCCGAAGCGACTGCACGCCAGCCCGGCGCACCCAGACCTAGAAGAATCAGAAACGAAGACTCAAGACACTAAAACAAGCCAAAACACCCGAAACCGACTCTTAGAAACCGGAAAAGGTCAACCCACAACTAGGGTCTTCCTTTTTTCAGGTAGCCTAGGAAGTTTCACCCCTGGCCTGTCTTCGAGCCGAAAAAGATGTGCACCTCGCCAGAATAGGCCTGGCAAGGATGGCCAACCTTACGGGATTGCCATGGCGACGAGGCTCGTTTTGGCTCCCGTCACCGTCTTCTCGCGCCTGTCTCTCGAAGGTGTCGTCAATGACCCCCACAGTTGGGGAGGACACGGCAAGATCACTGATGCCGTCTCCATCAAAGTCGCCGCAGGCGAGCGCTTGGCCAAATCCTGGGCTTGCAGAGTTCAAAACCATAAGCTGTTTATTGCACTGGTTTGTCCAGGTCTAGGCGTAAGTCTTGCGTTGGCATCTACTATGCGTACTTGGGCAAAGCCAGGCACTTTGAACACCTTGGAGGCATCCTGACGATGCGCATCACCTTGACACATGAGAATGAATGCTGCGCATCCTTCCGGTTGCGCGGCATTGCCAGAAACACTTAAACTGCTCACGGTCATATCTCGAGTTTGCACAATCACCCTGTGACCGCAGGGCACCACAGCTTCAGCCATCGAAACTCCCAGGAAGCACTAAATCATAGAACCCCTGACTGGCAATTCAAGCTTCCCCCCGGGGTGGCCGGGCAGCAGTGCGGGGCCTGAAAGCATTTCGCACTCAGCGCTCTTCACTAATATCTTCATTCCCTTCATCCCCCGGGCAAACAATAATCCAAGTAGCTGCCGCCGACCGTCCCCAGCCGCAGCTTCGTCTCCACCTGGCAGGGCTGGGCAAAGTTGCTTGTACCGGACATTGGTTTACACGAAGAGGATACATGTTGATCTCCTGTAAAGGGAAACGAAACAAGCATTAGAAACAGAGGCTTAAACAGCGGTTCTTTCCACTATGTGAAATTCCTGACAGCACTGAGAACCAATGGGGCCTACACAACGGCGATCCCCTGGTCATATCAATATTGTCCCCTGCACCTGGGAGGACGGTTTTCTGAGCAGCACTTGGCCCTGCAGCGGGCGCCCTCCCACCGACCAGCCCGGCGCACCGCGGACCTCCTGGGACCACGACGCGCGCTTGCTGATGCGCTTGGACAAGGGGGGTCGGGGAGGAGCCGCACAAAGGGAAAGCCCTGCACCCACTGAGGTTCCTAATCCCATGCTTCGAAAACTCTGAGGGGCCAAGTGGCTTCCAAGGCCTTTTTTGAAGGCTTGCCACCCTGAAACGGCTGGGAACTCCCTCATCGAAAAGACCTAACGTGGGTCTTTGGTTTGGCCCTGCCAATGAAGGTGCTGGATGTTCTCCCACCCACTTGTTGGAATCCAAGACATCAGGAGCTGCGAGAGGCGTGGAAGTCCTCAAGCTCACCATCGCCGTCCACGTCGCAAAACGTCACAGCCGAGCCTTCGTAGCCATACCTCGTGAGTCAGATGTGTCAGAATTAACCAGCATTCATGAGTTCTTGAAGTCTTGTTCGTTCCCTTGCCCAGGAACACAAAAAGCCGAAAGAGCCGTTCCCTACTTTTGCGGAGTGACCCGAAACCCAGCAACCAATTCAGGAAGGCAGATGCTGCAACAAACAACAAGCCCCCGCCGAGCTTCCTCCAAAAATACCGCCCCAAAGTCACATGCTGGACACAAATTGCAAGAACACTCAAATATCTTGGACCGACCCACCTTGGGTGGAGCGGCCAGGATTCAGCCAACCACAGAAATAGACTTGGCGGGCTTGAGCCCGGGGGAGTCTTCAAGAGACGGCTCCATGAGACACCGAGCTGCAAACCCTCCGGCGGACGGCCAAGCGCCGGCGCTGGGGGTGATGGTGGGCCGATGGACACCGCGCCTGGCCGAGGCGCCGACGAGCTTGGGGTCGTCTCCTGATCCCCTTGCGGCAGCATGAGCCACAGGCTGCTTTTTTTTGGTCCTCTGGCGCGCGCGCGCGCGACCCCATGTCAGCCTTCTGGGTTGGGGCCCGGATGGGGCCCAGAAAGCCGGCATCCCCGGCATTATCTGGGGTTAAGGTGGGCAACATGCATAACCTAACCAGCCATATCATAGCACACGCTACGTTTCTCATGCAAAAAACATGACATGGCATGGTATAACTTCAAAGAGGCTTAGCCGGCTAGAGGCCGCAGGCCCAGAAAATAATCAGAATATATCCCCCAACCAATCTGCATGGAAACAAATTCTGCTCTGGAACTTCCGTTAGCCCATGGCCGGCATGGAAGGAGCGGATCAGAACACTCACATTTTCTCCTCTTTTCGAGGTTGGTCTTTGCCCCTCCCTGTGCAAAATTGCCCTTTTGCTCCCTCCATGCTGCCCGGTTGCCTCGCGGCCCTACTTGAGCGAACGAAGACCCAACAGACACCTCAACTTGAGTTCGTGCATGCAAAACCGTTCTCTCGGAAAATCCGTTCTCGCTTAACGATGCGAAACAAAGGTACGACCACAACCGTCTCCTTCCACGCGAAGCACCTCGAGGCTCCGCCTGGGTCCGCGCCCAGGGACCCCGAAGCACGGCCTTGCCCAGGGCCATGAGCTCTTTCAGCGCCCGCCGGGTCCTCCGAGATGCCGAGAGAATTTTAAACCCAACGAGAACACCCACCCTGACGTGGTCCAGAAAGTGATGTTCAAAATGGCTTTGAAAGATGCTCTAAGTGATTTTCGAAAATGGATTTCCGCACTTTCCACAGCACTTTGTCCATCGAAGTCACACTCACCCCACGCAGGGAAGAAGCCAAGCAGTGCCGCCAAGGCACCCCTTGGCCTGAGCTCAGGGCGCACGGCTTGCAACATATCATCCATATTCTGATCCCCCCCCAACCCAAAAATCAAAGACAAAATGACTCAGTCCCACACCAAGCCCCCCCCCCCCAGCACACCCACCATCCATCCAGGGCGCAGAGCTGGCTCCTCGGGGAGGCGCTGGATCAGGGGGCCCCTGCACCAACCAAGACGCAAACTTCTGCCAGGCGACCAGGCCTGGGCCGACGGGCCATGGTCAAAACACCACCCACGGATTCGTCAAACTGCAACCCGCTAAAGATAGCCCAAGCACGTATGGTTCAGGTCAGCTGTGCTCGTAAACCATCAACACCCATAACAAAAGCACGATTCGATTTCCGAAAGTTCCGAAGTGAAGGAACTGATCTCTCCCTTGCACCCCAAGGCACTAAAGTGCACCATGTCGTCAAAGCCGCCAATCCAAAAGTCCAGCAACTGCTCCTGGCAGGCAGGGCCGCTGCGCAGCTGTGTCTGATGAGGCCTTCACTCGTCTTGCACATGTAATTCGGATGCAAAGGCAAGTAGCACTAGCCTGGTCAACACTCATTGGGGCCTAGGCACAGTCCGTACTCCGCTTGCTTGTTCTGCTCGGTAATCTTCTTAATCCGTCATCCGCGCAGAGAAGTCCGCTGGAGCATTGGAAACCCACGCAGCCCATAAACCGTAATTCGTAAAGCCCATAGTCCGATCCATAAACCGCATAATCTGCAATCCTAAAACTATTGGGGGCTTGGTTTTCACTCCGCCCACTCCAATCGCTCCAACGCGTTCCCAACAACGGGGCCAAGCCCTGCACCGTCCTGCAGAAAGGGCCCAGGACGCGCATACTTGGGGAAGAGCACCTCGCCCCCAACGGCCACTGCTTCCACCGCAGCCCGAAATTCCAAGCCGCACTCCTGGCCGTCGCTCCAGGGGGTTCCAAAAAAGTACCTACGGGAACTCGTCTAGGGCGAACGCAACATTCGCAATCCTCCGGTCAGCGGCCTGCTCGAAAAGTGTGTGAAGATTTAGAGCGCCAGGCTCAACTGGTGACATGACGGCATGCACAAACCTGCCGTGCTTTTTCAGCCGAGGGTCGATGATCCAGCGTGAGGTCACATTCGGGTGAGACTGGGGTTCCCGGTGGAAGATCTCCACCAAATCTTCCACGGGAATGAACCACTGCAATGGAGCGATGTTGAAGGTGGTGGCCAGCTGGTGGTGGATGACAAACCTCAGCCCCCCTGGCTCCCCCAGTCCATCCCTCGCAAGATCTGAGCATGATGTCCGCTACTCACGGCGTCCTTTCCTGAAGCTGAGACAGAACAACAACTCACCTCACGGCCCAATCATTCAACAGGCTGAACGCCATGACCGTTCGACCGGGGCTCCGCACTCTCCGCCAGTGTCTCCCTCAGAGTGCGCGCGATCGCACAATTGACCCTGGCATCCGTAGTCGATCTCCCCAAGGAACTGCAAAAAGCCCAAGCCGAAGCCTCGGGTCTTGTTGTCCTGCGGAGCCGAGCGCCAGCTGATCTAGCTGCCACAGGCTGCTCTCAAAGCAAAGCGCCCCAAAGCCTTGCCAACTTGTGGCAACGAGGCAGGCCGCAGCTCATTACTCCCGGGCAATGTTACTAAGATTTGCCCCCGGGAATCGCCAGGTCAGAGTCATTAATTTAATTGTGGGCTCAAGGCCCGCAAGTGGTCAAATCACAACTGGCCAGCGTCCTGCTTCAACCGTTGGCCATGCCAGTTCATGTCCTTGGTTGACGCGCCGTTTGCACCCCGTCAATGTGGCTCGTATCAAAATGTCTTGGACACAAAGCCCATGGACCATAAGCGAATGCATCATGGTGATCCATTTGCCCTTTGTGCCCTTTGCACCATTCACCACCTCCGAACAGTGAGCCCTGGTGCAGCCACTCAGGCAGCCCGCCAAGCTTCTGCCGCGTAGTGGGAGACCGCCCCCATCATGAAGGCCACCAACTTTGCCCCGTGCTCATCCCCACTGCGCCAGTTGGGATACCTCGATGCACTCAACATCGCAATTCCCAGCTCATGTCCTGACTGAATTGGTCTCAAGCGGCACCTCACACAAGTTCCCCCAGTCCCTGCCTGTCAGCACCTTTCAAGGGGCCAAGTTAGCTAGCAGCAACTACAGTACTCATATTGATTCTGTTGATCAAGCTCGCCGTGTCCCGGTGCCGAGCAAATCCGCATGAAACATCCAACGGCCAACGCGTCAGCCACCACCCCCTTACCCAAAGGGCTTGCCGAGCCGCTTCTCCCGAATGTACGCTGCTGCCTTGCTGTGGAAGGTGTGCCAGTGGGCGTCTTCGCCTGAAACCGGCCGCTTGATTTGGGTCCCCTTTGCCCAAGGAATGTCCACGTCTGCCTTCAACTACAGGAACAAGAGATGCAAACTCCTGGGCCAATCTGTACGCAGTTGCGCCGCAATGCAAACGATTCTTTCAACAGGGCGGTGGCTGGGAGCCTCGCTAACTTTCAAGCCACCAAGTGTCAAACAGCAAGCAGCCAGCCACCCCCATCCCACCGAGGGTTCGCGCCGGACAGGCAAACAAAGCTTTGCCTGCGCCGTGATCTGAGCCACAGGAATACAGGTAATCCGGAAAGGGTGCACCAGCGATGAGCGCGTGAGGGTACTGGTTGAGGATGGCAGAGATGTTCTCAACCTGGCTCCAGGATGCCCCAGGTGGGAAGGGGTCCAAATTTGACTCCCTGTGGGTCATGGTCATGACCCACCTCAGGCTAAAGGAGTCTTTTGATCATGGTGCGTTTAGCGACAAACTGAAATCCTCAAGAGTCGACTCCCCAAGGCTCCCCACAAATGTGGAACCGCACCTCAGACTGGAAGAGGCTGTGAGCACGCAAGGCAACCTCGCTGTGCAGGGTCATGCCGCAGCTCCACCTGAGTCTCAAAAGGGAGACAAAGGGAACCCCAGAATCGGCTTCCTTGCGGCTTCCCTTCCAAACAACCAGAGCACTAAACCAACCAACGCGCCAAAGACCCCTAGCCCGTCAGCCTTGGACCTGACTACCCTGGATCTCAGACGCAGGCTTGTTGCTTCGTCCAATGGCACCCCACAACACAATGCCGATTGGAACATCTTGCATCCAAGATGCCCTCGCATCACCAAGTTGGCCTGTCCAGAAAGTGGGAGTTTGGGCTACCAACCTGGTCCAACTGGCGCAAAGCCCCCAACTGCGTCTCAACCCCAAGCATTCAAGTTCCAACCGCCACAGTGAGCACTGGCTTAGATGCGAGGCTCCCAAAATAGCTCAAAACACCATGATAACACCATGATGGAACTGTTCCAAAAAAAAAGAAAAAAAGAAGTCAGGGCACATGCGGTAGTGCACTGTGAGCTTCTGCGACCCCGAGCATGTGATTGGGCGCGTTGGCTGCCGGGGCACGAGAAGCAAATGCAGCAGCATTGTCGTTTTGGCCATGGCTGCTGCGGTTCGCGCGCCTCTTTGGCAGCCCTTTCAATTACAAAGCTTCAGGCCTGTGGGTATTGGAAAGCCTGCTGGAGCTTCTTGGTGCGATGGGGGTTGTTACTGCACTCCTAGGCGTGGCTTCAGACTTCACTTGCTCTTTGGCTTGGCTCCAAGGCCCGACTCCCAGGCTTCTTTGCATGGATCGGGTGTGTCTCTTTCCCACATGTCTCGAGCCGCAAACCCGGCTCGTGTCCGGCAAGTGCGGGCGCAGGCAAAACAGCCAGCGCGAGGCGTCGACGTTTAAGAACTCAGGCCCCAAAGCCCACATTGTGTTTTTTGAAGAGGGACAAAAGGGACTCCCCGCGTTTTAGGGGTTCAAATCCCTCCAAACCCCCTCGCTCTCCACTCGCCGGGCGTCTCAGCTGCACTAAGGTGAGGGATGGGGTACCGCCGCACGCGGTCGTGGAAGCCATCGTGGCTGAAGGGCATAGCGCCTGGCGCCGCACTCCATGAGCAGCTGAACAATTGAAAAAGACAGGATCCTGCAACTAAACCAATATCCTCCGCCCTGCCTTCGAAACGGAACCATTGAGAAAACATGTTACGCAAACATGCAGGCTCCGTGTTCTGAAAGCGTGTGGTGCGCTCGTCATCCGGAACGTCTTGCTTGAGTTCAAGGCGAGGCAGCCGGCCTTGTGAACTGTCAATCCCGGGCTTGGGCGTTGGCCATGCTCTTCATTTCATCCTTTGCTTCCCCCACGCAGCGAAAGCGCCCGAAATCAAGGTTCAAGCGCAGCCTGCCCCAGCCAACTTCCGCACCGCGCACACACACACACAAACAAGAACAACTGGCTCAATGGAATTGCCCTAAAAAAGGCAAACCTACCGGAATCTACCAGGGTCCTTATGACCCAGTTTAGCAGCACATTTCAGCAAAGTGATGAGGGTGGCATGTCTACACTCATGTTCAGAGGAAATCCAGTGGACCCTTCTTGAGGCTCCATGCTTATCCGCAAAGAGTACGGTTCCCTTGGCATGGTCCCGCAGTATCTCTTGAACAGCGCCATCCGACACGGCGTGTTGTCAGGCCTGTTGCCATCTGGCGGGCATGCTCCGCGGCAATGTCGGCGATGCCCTGGCACCACTTCCTCACCAGATTGAACCAAGACATGTCAACCTTGTTCAACCACGCTCGTGGTACCCTCATGTGCGTCAATTTGCCAAAGCAATGCCAAATGCAATCGAGATGCAAAGGTGGCATGTTTTCTGAGCCGCGGAAGATGTTGGTCTCGTCCAAGGCACGTCTAGCTACATAGTTCGGATCATAGCTTCGAGATACGAGCTGTCCTTACGGCCCGCGCATTCCGAGGAAAGCAATTTGTTGGGTCATAGAAAAAACCGGGCGCAGCCTGGTTTGCCTTAATTCATTTCTACACGACTGTTTTCTGAACAGGACCAGCCCGAACCAGTGCCATAATCTTGCCCGGGCTCCGTAGCTTGAGGCCTGCCCAAAGCTGGCCTCGTACTCCTTGGCGTACCTGCAGCACCCCCGGTCCTACTGGCAGCAGTATGCGCAATGGCCATGACTGGTTGGGCTTGGATTCGTCAGCTCCCCGATTTCCACGGACCGCAAATAATCTGGAATAGGGCATGCCAGGACTTCCGTCGTCCAGCAGTGTGGGGTGGCAGTCTTGGGCAGTCAAGGCACAAAGGCATTTTGCCGATGGCTTCTTCGATTCGCATCTGCTCCAAGTCCTGCAGGTTGAACCTCGGCGTGAAGAGTCCCTCACAGCAACAAAGGGCCCAACGGCATTCCGTGCTTGGCTGGTAGGCTCTCAAATTTTGCGAAAACCCGGAAATGAAGGCCGTGCGCATGTGTCCTCACAGGCGCCTCTCGGTCCAAGCCCATCCCTGGACGAGCTCAAACCTGCACCCTTGGTAGGTACGCCTGAATACATCACTCGATGCACTGCCTATTCAATGTCATCTTTTAGACCCAGTATATTGCAGGAAGGGTTCGCAAAATTGTTCTGGGGATCGCTGTAAGCTGCTAGATTGCCTGGGGGATGCCAACGCCTCTGTCTCCAGGCCTCGTTTCAGTTTTGCAGCCCACAAGCAGACAAGACAGCGGCAGCTCCCAAGTGCGAATCAGTCCTAAACGAGAAGGCAGAAACACCTTTTTGCCAGCCGTTTGGCAGCATGCCTGAAAAAAGTGTCGGCCCACATGCTTCATTTCTCGCTTGCCCCTAGTCTATCCGATTTCTCACTTTGCAGCCCGACCTGACCAGTTTCTCCACGCCATGTGCCGGCTCTGTGCCAAGGCGCTCCCGCTTGCCGGGGTAGCGCTCAGCCAGCGGTCGCCACGTGGTGTCGGTGGTCTGCTGCAGGCGGTAGACCGAGGGGTTGGGCGCTCTGCCTGCATCAAACAGGCACAATAGCAAACGCGCCATACACTTCAGATCAGCCAAGCTCTTGTTCCCCACGGCTTCACGACTTGGGACCCAGCATGTGTCCAAACAATTCCCATCACTGAACTCTCACACACAAAGCTTCCGGAAATCCAAACACTGAAACAGCCTTCACCTTGACCTTCTTTGTCCCCTTTGCTTCTCTGTCCCCATCCCTTCTCGACAATAACTTGGTCAGAGTTCAACCAAAACCCTGGGCTCTCGTCACCAATGACCCTCAAGAAAAACATACCTCTTTGCTTGGGTAAACTTCACACGGTTCCTTCAAGGTTCCTTCCGCTCGCAACCGGACCTCCCCCGCCTGCCGCCCGCATCGCCTCCTGGAAGGCCCGGGGGTTCTGGGCCCTCCGGGCGTGCACCTCCGCCAGGAGCTCGCCTGGCCGAAAGTGATGAGCCCCCTGTGGGCCCGAAAAATGACCCTCCATGACCCTCCAAGCGCTGCTTTCGGCGAGGCGCGCGCCGTGGATGTGAACTCCTTCGTCTCTATGGCCTCTTGAAGCTCACTCTTCACCTTCAAAGCGTCGCTTGCGACCTCTGGTGCCTTGATGGACGCATCCAAATGTCCGGAACCAACATCCCATCCAAAAATGTCTTGTATCCAGGACAAACACTGGCTGCTGGTCCCCAAGCACCGGTGAGACCAGCTCTGCATTCCCATGAGGGCCATGACCCTGCGCTACTCAGACTAATGCAAAGCGAAAGCCACGCAAAGGCAGAAACAACATCGGACTTGCTGCCTTTGCGCAAGGAGTTAGTTTCTTCAAACTCTTGGATTGAATCTCGCATTCCAGGCTTTATCCAGGCTTTAGATGTTGCGGATCCGCTTGAAGTCCATAACCCACCCCTGCCTCTGGCATTGCGCTCATCGCCGGGATCCACGAGTCTGGGGAGCGCAGCACTTCATCCAGCAAGGAGAAAGCGCCTCTGCCAGCAAATCCCCCCCCGCTTCGTTCAAAGCATAACTTCCGCCTTGCCTAAACCCAAAGAGGCCGGCCCGGCCAGCACTTCTCATTTCTCCCCTCCGGGGCTCGGGCGCTCCATGCGCCGGGACATGGGGTTCTCGGAGCCCACCGGCAGGCGCCACTCCAGGCAGGGCTCGCGGACGTAGGCCGAGGTCCAAAAGTCCCCAGGCTGGAAGCCTCGAGGCTAAACCCGATCGCTTAGCCACCCATAGGACGCTTGGGGCCCATTTTTGGTAAGGCACCCTCAAAACTAGCATCTGTTATGGTGGTTGCAAGTGGGACAACGCAAATCAGCCAAAATAAATTTGTTTCAGTGACACGCGGCCAAACATGTGTAACATCGATATGCATATTGTATAACTCATGGCCTCGTTCGGGTTCCAGGCTTGCTCCTGGATACACTCCTTCACCAACCCCCCCCGCTCAAGGCAAAGCAACTCCGTTTCAGGGTTTTCTGAACCAGGCTACTGGGAGGCGCCGGGGTTGGGGGAAGGCATCCGAATCCAAGGCGCCAAGCTTTCGCAGCAGCGCGAGCGCCTGTGGGAAGCGGCCCACCCGCTCCTTGAAGCGGGGGTTCTGCAAGCGGATCTGCCTGGATGGCCATCCCTCCCTCCGTCCCTCCCTCGCTCTCACTCCCTCCCTCTCTCTCACTCTCTTTCTCTCTTTCTCTCTATCTCTCTTCGGTGCGTCCAAAGGTCTCACCGAAGGATGTGGGTTTGGTTTGGGGGATGGGTTTATGTACGGAAACATCTTTGACACGTTCGTGGGGACTTGGGGATGGGTGTGCGGGTGTGGGCTTTGGGGGCCTGCACAGGCTGCACCACAAGCAAGCAAGCATAAACCTGCTTTGGCAAGTTAACTGCTTCGCACGCCTTTGCTTTGCTCACCCTAAGGGTCCAGTTCGCCCCTCCACACAGCCGCAAAGGCTTCTCCGCCAGGCCCCGCCTGACACGACTGCTCTCCGGATCTGCCAGGATGTTGTACAAGATGCGGTGCCTCAGCAGCGCCAAAGGTTGCAAAACCCAAGCCACGGCTACACGTTTGAAATTAAGCATGTCAATGTGTGGGGAAATGTCCACTTGTGGTATTTCATGTTGGCTTGTCAAATCATGCTTGTGTTCGACAGTTTCACATCCTGGTGCACCATACGCCGGTATCCACTCTCGCTGGATCTTGGTGAGATTGCGAGGATTTGGCCTTGAAATAACGGGCCGTTGTCATGGCAACAAATCCTCCACCCACCCCACAGCTCTGCTACCTGCTCCCCAACCCAAAGGAAGCTCACTCATGATCGGCCACCAAGGGCGATGATAGCCCCGTCAGCAAACATAGAAGGGGCGATAAGGACCAGGGTTGCGCCAATGCCTGCTTTAAGCATTGCTAAATGTGCTAAATCACTGTTACTTGAACTGGGACCCTTTAGGACAGCAATGTTGTCCGTTGGCTACCAGCAGGGCTCCCTGAGTGCCCCCCCCCCCCAAAAAAAAAAAAAAAAAAACACCAAAACGGAACAAAAGATATGGAAGACGGGTCAAGCCACCAAAGAAGGCGCCCATGCCCGGGGAAATATTTAGGTCAGGGGGACCCTGACATGGTTCAAACAAACAGCTTCCAGCTTGCACAAAAGGGCAATCAGGCGCGTAGCATCCTAGAACCCAATCTGTTAGGACATATTAGGACCAACTTTGGGGCACGCAAATAGGGAAGCCTGCCCGTAGGCCATCTGGGAATATCTTGGGCGCCCGGCACTGCCTGCAGGCAGGACCGGACGTGCAGCGCCGGCACAGTGAGCAAGCGCAGCACTGCTAGAGCCACCTCCTCCTCCTCGACGGGGCGCGGTCATTCGTCATTTGCTGCTCCGTTGGCTCTGTTTCTTTGTCAAACGTGGCAACACAGTCAACTTGCGGGCGGAAATGGGGCACACGCAGCATTTCTCGCCCGATTTGCCAACACCTGCGGCCCAGACTTTGGCGGTGCTTTGGTACCTTAAGTGGGCCACTAAATTGTGATCCGCCTTTTCGTGCTTCGACTCTCAACAAGAAGTTGGTCCAACGCCACAAAGCCATACAAATGCATGCACTTGAAGGACACTTGACCTCATCCTAGCGCCTAAGGGGAGATGGTGTGTTTGTGGGAGGGGAAGGTTGGAAGGGGGGTGGAAACGTCGCTATGGCCAGTCGGTCAGGACACATTGGCGCATAATGTGGCAATCTAGCGTCGCAAACCCTTCCCATATGGAACGAACCTTGGTGGTCGGCGCAATCCTCACGTGCACGGAGGGCTTCTGGCGAGACGTCGATGTCTTCATCATTTTGATGCTTTTCCAGCCTCGGTGCATTTCACGTGAGTAGAATCAGATGCGTGACAACAGATCGAAGCGAGCTACCTGCTGATACGACAAGTGCGGCATTGCCGCAACAAGCGTTCAAATCAACACATATCTCAACAATAGGGGACTCCAAGAAACGATTGCTGTTGACTGGGGCACCGTGCCACTCCACCGCCTCCTCCACATCCTCGCATTCTGCGTCCACTGCCTGGGAGAATGGCAAAAAGGTCTGAACTTTATGTTTATCACCTAGTTATCTTCCCAAAAGATCCTAAATGCATCAATTCCAGGAGCTCAGGGAGTAAAGCAAACCAAGGTTGCCTCTGCTTTTAGGCTGTCTTTCGGGGGGACACTGGTTGTTTGCGCCAGCCTCCTGTGCCAACCAGGCGATTGTGTTCACGGGTTGGCGCGCCGAACAAAGCACATGCCAACTTGAGTCACAGTGCAGGTCCCGCTTAGTCCCGCCTTGCGCGCCCGCACGGCCGAAAACTGCAGGTCTCGGAGCTCCGCAAACAGCGCCTGCTGCCTTGGGACTCGCCAATGTCCCACATGGGGCCTGTGAAGCAGAAATGAGTATCAGCATTGATGAGCTCCCCCCGCAGCCCCACCCCCAAAGGCAAACAACAACTCAGAAGCCAACAAAGGCCGTGTGAAAAGAGAGGCGGGCTTCTCAGCTGCCTTGCTACTAGTAATGCCTTCGTTGCATCCTTGCGGCCGTCTTGGGCACAGCGATTTCATCAAGTGCATTCAGCTGGCAAATCAAATGTTGGCTTTGCCATCTATGCCTGGTCATGCTTGCCAAGCGTCAAAGAAGACGATTGCTCTGCTCTCGGAAAGGTAACTATGGGTTGAAACATCAGGAAACCACAGCTCTGAAGCATCTTTGCGGACCATGGCACCCCCCACCCACCCGCCCCTCCCACTCCAATCTCAGCCGCGCCGCTCCTCGCGCCAGAAATCGTTGGGCGCTGACTTCTCGCCGACCTCGCCGTCCGGGCTCGACGCCTCGGGGGCCCGCGCCACAGGGGCCTGGGAGTCCTCGAAGAGGCCGTCCAGGTCCTGCAAAGAGAGACACGCGAAGACACGCGGGTTCAAAAACACGAATACGATCGCATACGGCAGGATGGTGAGACCGGCCCAGCTCAAGTGACAATGATCATGACCCTTCATCCAATGAACGTATGCCTAATGGTCATGGAAGTAGCTGCTTGGCACCAGTGCCGCTAGGCCTGAACATCAGCACAGTACTACTTAAGGTTGTTCATGAACTTGACCACCAGCCATCACAAAGGGTCAATTTAGCGCCGTACACCGTGACAGCCCTCAAAAGCATGGGGAAAGCAAACCAAAGAAGGCACCTCCGAGCCCGCCTCATCTCGGTCGCAGCAGCTGGGGTCGGCATCCACCCATTCCCCAGAACCTGTGGCATAGCACCTTGGACATTTGCCAATGCATAACACGTTCCCAGCTCGCCTGCTAGATGGCTGCCAGAAGGAGGAAACACAACCAATGCAAAAGTTGAGACCATTTCTGAATGGTCTAAGAACCGCCCTTGCAAGTCTAAAGCATGCTGCAAACAAAGTGGGCCCTGGTTGCGAACCAACCCTGCCCACGCATCCCGCCCACCTCATCAACCCAAAATGTAATTTTATTCGGCTTCTTGTGCTGAGTCGCATAGGTGCGTCTGACACCTGAGCGATCTCCGTTGGAGCCTGCAGGGCGCGGCCACAAATCTAACGAGGCGGGAGAAACTGCTGACACACCTCGGCTAACACCAGAGCATGTAAGCCAAGTGTGAGCCGATCAAAAGCAAGACAGAAGAAAACACAGAAGCTTGTGGACTGTGATGCCATTACCTGATACATGAAAAGGTAACCAGTCACCTTATCCTATCTATCGCGCACCGCAAATCCTTTGCCGCCTCTGGAGCTGCCACTGGGGCGGAAGCTGCTGCTCGCTCATCCCTCTCGGTCTTAAGGCGCTTCTGGCTGGTATCCTGGCGGCGTGCCAGAATGTGCAAGCACCCCCGGCCTCCATTGTCTAAATACCCATCATGCTTCCTGCGGCAAGCAAACCATGAATCACTGTGACGATCGTGCTTCCATTGCGACTGAGCTGAAGAAAGAAAGAAAGAAACACAGAAAGAAAGAAAGAAGAAAGAAAGAAAGAAGAAAGAAAGAAACGAAAGACAGAAAGACAGGCAGACAGACAGACAGACAGAAGGGAGGGAGGGAGGGAGGGGAGGGGAGGGGAGGGAGGGAGGGGGAGGGGAGGGGAGGGGAGGGGAGGGGAGGGGGAGGGGAGGGGAGGGAGGGAGGGAGGGGGAGGGGAGGAGGAGGGAGGGGAGGAGGGGAGGGAGGGAGGGAGGGAGGGAGGGGAGGAGGAGGGGAGGGGAGGGGAGGGGAGGGGGGAGGGGAGGGGGGGAGGGGAGGGAGGGGAGGGGAGGGGAGGGAGGGGGAGGGGAGGGAGGGAGGGAGGAGAGGGAGGGAGGAGGGAGGGAGGGGGAGGGAGGGAGGGAGGGAGGGGGAGGGGGAGGGAGGGAGGGAGGGAGAGGAGAGGGAGGGAGGGAGGGAGGGAGGGGAGGGAGGGGAGGGAGGGGAGGGAGGGGAGGGAGGGGAGGGAGGGAGGGAGGGGAGGGCGGGAGGGAGGCAGGAAGGAAGGAAAACAGAAAGAACAGAAAGAACAGAAAGAACAGAAAGAGCCAGAAGAAGAAGCGCAAGAGCAAAAGAGAAAGAGAAGGAGGAGAAGGAGGAAAAGCGAGAGAGAGAGAGAGAGAGAGAGAAAGAGAGAGAGCAAGTAGTCGTTGCCTCTACGACCCGAAGCCCCCACGATTTAGGTATGCTTGGGCTGGGGTGTGGCTTTTGAGGGGAAGTTGAGCTTGTGGTGGGTTCTATTTGTTTCATGCCAAACCCATTGTTAACCAGCCTGAATCCAGCCCAAAACCGACCACAAACCTACCATACAATACCGCCACCAACCAACCCTGCACCTCTTTGCGCCCACCCTAAACCGAACCCTGCCCTGAACATCCCTAAGCCCACCCAACACCCACCCTAAACACTCTGAGCCCACCATGACCGCGCTGTGGGATTGCTGCCGGCGGGAGAGGCCCCGCAAAGGAGCTACCAACTCAGATGCATCCGGGCGTTTGCTAGCGGTTCGCCTGTGGCGCTGCTCGAACAGCCGTTGTGTCCTCTGCTCGCAGCAGAAGCTCCATGTGTTCATTTGCGGTGACGGCCATGCGAGTGCCGCTCTCGGAGAAGTCGTGGGTTGCGCTTTTGTTGGCTCTTCAGAGCCTTTTACTCCCAGACTTCGTGACTCAAGTCTGGTGTCATGTGCTCTTCGCAGTTGGCGAATCGCGTGGAAGCTGCTCGGTGCTGCCATTGCCATCTGAATCCACTGTCGGCCCCCTCTATTTCTTGGCAATTCGGAATGCAGTTTGGATCAAAGGTTGAACACGTTGATCTCCGAGCTGGGTAATGAGAACTAACCCCTGCCCATCCCTCCCCGGCAGGACCACGGCTCATTTGAGCCATCCCTCAGCTTTCTCGATCTCTGAAACTTCAGAAGCTCGACTGGTTTCATCCAGCTAGAGGCGAAAGCCAAACCCTTGCTTGCCATTTCCGTCTTCAAACGGATCCCCCAGATTCCTTTGTTACCGCCAGTGGGAAGTAAAAAATAATGCAAGCAAGGGAAGGAAACACAAACAAATCTGATTCTTTCTTCGGCGGTTTCCCCCTGTATCGTGCAGGTGGGAAATACAGAAAGAACAAAGCGAACTGGTTTCCCTTCTTCCACCATGTCCATTGGGAAGCTGGCAAGTTTGGCCAAATTTGGTTGGTTTGCTCGCAGTGCGAATTCTAGGCCTGGGAATGGGAAATGCCTGCTGCTGAGTGTGTGACACCCACACCCGCCATGGTCAAAGGTGTTCTTTCCAAAACAGCTGCCGTGCGTTTGGCAAGGTACCCTCAAAAGAGGAGGGGGGCCTAAAATTTGGAAACTGTGTCCCTTTCAAACCATCCAGAATAAGGGGGCCGGGCCCAGTGGCGCCGGGAAACGCCCTTAACAATCACTCCTAGCCTAGAGCATTTCTTTTGCAGTGGCAAACGAAACATGATGACGAGGCAACTGCAGAACGCCTTGCTCCCGGTGCGGTGGACGTTTATCCCCGGAATGTGCATGTGAACGTCAACGAAACCATCGGGGGTCCGCAAATCATACCGCTCATAGCCACCCTTCCCTGCTCAGCTGCTCAGGACGGATTTTCTTCAAGCACAGCGTACGTTGGCAGTCGGCACCGGGCCAGGAGTTTCAGAGCGACTCAGGACCGGCGGATCCTGGTCCTGCCTCGGTCTTTGACGCCCTGGGAAGAAAATTGCCATGAAACCTTCCTAGCGGGTTTGTGATGGACAGCTTTCCTCTAGATAAAAATCCCAGATTAATCAACTCCAATTTCTAAATATAAGGAATGCCCCTGGATTTTTTGGAGGGGCACACTCCCCGTTCGTAAACCGGAGAAGATTGATCCGGGTTCCATTAAACACAGAGGCCTTCTGGCGGGCTCCACGTTTATGGTGTTGGGAAGGTATACTTGTCTTGGTAGCTGGCCCGGATTCCACCATTTGCTAGGACCTAAGGAGGCAAAAGGAAACGGTAAAGCGCAACATACATCAAACAACACGGCGCAGCCAAGTGTCGCTCTTGGACCCTGCCAGGAGTGCGCACCGTCGGACGGACAGTTCGAGCCCCCTGTTCGCTTCAAGCGATTTCCAGGCTGGGTCGGCACTGGCAGGACGCGCAGCCTGCCGCGAAGAAGGTCTCGCTGTATGTGCCGTCCGAGTCGGTCTTCGAGAAGGGGCAGTGCTCCGACACTTCTCGCTGCCCAGCTTTCACCTCGGAGCACTTTGAGTCACACACCTGACGAAAGGAGAAGACAAAAACCATGCAGAACACACCCTGCGCTTGGGGATGGGCAACTTCCCACTGGAGGCGTGCTGAGTGTTGCACAGGCTTGCTGCCCAGTGTCGCTGAAGCAAATCTCATCACTTCGGCATGCGCAATCCTTGCATTCGAAGAGTACGCTGATTCAACGCAAGCTGTTGCCACATGTTGCCACATCGGGCTTGTATGTACAACTGATGTGTACCACATGGCACTCCCCTCAATCCCCCTTTCGGGCGGACCGCTCGCCACAGGCACAAATGAAAACATCCAAAATGCGCTCTCTGGTCACCAGCAATTAACCCTCCAGCCGGGCATCCAAGTCGGAGTCTGGAGTAGGTTCATCTGCAAAGACTGGGCAGCGCTCTGCGACTGCCGCTTTCCTTGCCAGAGTGACATCTTGAACCTTGCGCGCGAGGGGCCGAGGTTGCAGCTTGGGTGTCCATGACAGCCGAAACCATGGTCAACCGTTCCAAAATACTGGCAAAAAAGGGCTATTGAAGCAGAAACGCCCGCCTTGGTGGCGGTGTCATAGATGTAGTAGCAGAAGTTATCCTTGGCTATGCGCTGCTTCCCAAACCAAACAAACCGTTTGATCCTTGAGCTGAGCTTCTGCATTCTTCAGCGCTTTCCCTGGGACAGCTTCACATCATGCTCACAAATCAGCTGACACTATCACTTGCGTCTGGAACTTGAGTCTGTCATGTTCATGGCCGTCGCAACATTGTAACATGGCCCCTCACGTCGTCATGAGGATTCCGGCTCCCCATCAGTGGGCCGATGACACCTGGTACCTTCTTTGCTTGTTGTGGTACGATTGTCAATTGCCCGTATGCACACATACACGAACACGCACAATCGCCCATGTTGTCCTTGCGGCCCTCATCCGGCCTGGGCTCCTCCTTGCAAGATCCTTGCAAGTCGACCGCCCATAGGCCGTCTCACCCCGGAACGTGACGTCGTCCGTGAAGGCCGTCGCATGATGCGACCCTGGCAAAGGGGTTTTACGCTGCAATGTGCTCTTCGTTAATGCCATTTTAGAATGTTTGCGAGCTTTCTCAGAAAACGGGGACCCCAAAATGGGGTTCTGAGAAATTCAGATACCAAAGTCCCAAAGGGCGCTCACCCCGCAATCACCTGCACCAGATCTGCATCCACTGAACTCACCCAGAACAGCCGCCGAATCATCCCCTTCCCTTTGGAAAGAGAAGAACATCTCATAAACTTGTTTGAAGTCAGAACACCTGTCGCCTTTAGCTGTCTGAGAGAACAATGGGAAACAGTATTCCCCTGATTCCAGGGAACCCGTCTTGCGCATTGCCAGACTTGACCACCTTTTCCTATGAAATATGGCTCGCCTCATTTACGGCTTCAAGCACCAAGCCCAAACAGGTCCCTGAAACCAATCAACTCTACTTTTGGCTGTGCCAGTTCTGGCACAATCAAAACTGATACAAAAGACGCCTGGGTTTGATTGTGACAAACTTCTACAAGGACCTCCAACCAAAAGTCGGCCCGACCTTCGTGTAGCAGCGTCGCAATCATCTCCTGCGACTCTTCGAAGTACAGCGGGCAGAGGTAGAAAACAAACTTCTTCCGGTACTTCGTGCAATCCTTGGTGGGTTCTTGGTTTCCAACATCACTTGGTTGAGAAACAAAAACTGACAAACCAAACACAGGGGTGCCGGATCGCTCGGCTTGCTTCATTGCAGCCACATCTAGGCGAATTTCTCTCGAAGCGCGCCTCCTCCTGCAAATCCCGCTGGTTCCTGCAGTTGTCCGCCTCTGGGAAAACATAGGCGAACGTGTCGGATTCGCAATCTGGTCCGGGATACACATACCTGCGCTGTTTCGCGTCCCCAACATCATTGAACATACTTTCAACTCATGGCGAACAGCGTCGAAAGTTGGTGCAGCTGGAGCACTCGACATTGCTAATCATGTGGTTGACAGAGTTGAGCACGTGAAGCACTTTCTTTCGCGAGCGCTCATCAGAAAACGCTCGTTTGCCAAACCACTTGTCCATTTGAATCTTCGTCCTCTTAGCACGAAAAGCTCGAATCACGCTGGCAATGTACGCCTTTGCCACTTCTTCCTTCCTGGGCTGCTCTTCAAGCCGGCGCCAAACCCAAAAACAAATACCTCCAAGATCCCCTTATCAAACAGGTTCCAAAGATTTTTAAAGCTCCCTTGTTGAGGCCATGCTGGTCTCTGCTGTGTGCCTTTTGCTGGCCCTTTTTTGGGGTCCTGGCAGGACAAGGTGTGTTAAACTGGTGCCGGCGTCTGCTTGTTCAGCTTCCTCTGACGTGCGGTCATCTTGTGAACCTTCTTGCCCTTTGGGGCATCTGCTTCTTCAGCCTAAGCCCACAAGCCACGGTGCCAACACTGCTTGCAGCACTGATAGGAGCTAGTTTAGACGTCAACCACGTGTTTGGCCGGTTGCCGTTCGCCATGAACAGAAACAACAGCCCTGAGAGAAAAACCGTCGACGGTGGACAGCCAAGGCTGCTCATTGCATGCAAAAAGAGAACTGGCTCGCGGAAATCATGTTCCTGAGACCAGGGCAGCACAAGGAAGCCAGCTTGTCCCCTCATAGCTGCAACCCTTGATTTGGAGATATTTGGAGGGCAACCTACAAGAAGCTGCATGCAAGTCACTGGGCAACATCCATGTGAACATGCGCAAAAATGCACCCCCCTGCCTGGTGCCCATTTCGGCTCCAGGCAGTGTTGAGTTGATGCATTGAGCAATCACAGCTGCACAACGTTTGGAATACTTGGAAAGCTGGCAGCTTTGGCAGCTTCCCAAGCTTCTCTTCAAAATATGGAAGTCGATTGAAGCTTGACGATGGGCCCTAGATTTGGAGCCTCTCCCAGCATGGTTTCAGCTTTCGAATCCCCCTTACGCTTCCACAATGGCATGTTGCGGCATGTTCCTAAAGTGAGGTTCTAACTTTTTACCAATGAAACGGACAGCAGGTTTCAGCAAGCATTCAGACGCCAAGGGACCAGGGGCTCTGGCCTTGGAGAAGGGTAGATGCGGAACAAGTTGGCGACACGTTCCACCAGCTCCCAAAGTGCATATTCAATCTCCGGAGGCATGTCGGACCTCTTTGCTGCCACGCCGTTTTTCCCAACCTGCACAGCTGCCAAAGGATGCACCCATGAGGCAGCAAACAAAAAGTCATTTTTGTGTGAAAGCCAACTAACATATCTGAACAGTTGTAGCCGTGAGCGAGCAGCTAGTGCAAGGGACGAACTCGTTCTTGTTTGGTGTTCCTCATTAGGCTAAAAACAAATTACCCTCACGCGGACAATTCACCGTGACAAGTAGCTGCACAAGTTGCCCGTTGGGCTTGAAACGTTGCCGTTTCGATGTGCATAACTGCGACTCTGAATTCGCCACATCTGAAGCGTGCTTTCGATGACCAAAATACGCGCGCTGAGGAAAGGAGTGGTACGCCGTTTGCAACCAATAACTCAACTGGGTGTTCCCAAGCAGTCTGAGAACATGTGCCCTTGAATGCACGGTACTATTCTAGTGTGTCTTATAAGTCTCCGCGAAACGTCAAACCCAAAGGGTGACAATAGGGTGAAAGGGTGAAAGGGTGAAAGGGTGATGTTAAAATGTCCACAGAAGCAGTTTTGGGTGGGTCTTTTTTGGTCTGCTTACCCCCTTGTTGAGAGGTGCCACAAGGAGCCAACATGAAACCAAGCGTTCGGGGAGTTCACTCACTTTGAGACACACCCATGACAACCCAGGTAAGGACCCGTGTGTGTCACTCCCCCCCCCCCCGCTTCGCTCGCCTTGTCAAGGAAAGGCCTGTCTCCGTAGTTTGGCATATCCCGCTGACCCGGAACCAGCGAACTGAGCGTCTGCGGTCGTACGTCAAGGTCACAGTAGCTTTCCTCGCCCAAAGTGTAGCCTGAGCCGCTTCGGCTCAAAATAAAATCCTCTCGTTCACGCCACGCTTACATGGAAGTTCCCCAACATGAACCTGGGGGACGAGGTGAAAATGGGACAGAGAGTTGCCCCTAAGGTGGAAGCCAATTGAAAATTTCATTCCACCTTTGTTGAGGTCGACTTTTTGGCCTACAATGGCAGCCTTGCGGAAGGCTCTGTGTGCTTTGATGCTGGCTTCCTGGTCAACTATGCCCAGCACAGGACACATCGCTGGTCCCAGGACAAATGGCATACTGCTGACTGTAGTGCACCACCGACTGGCATAGAGTTGAGCATTGGATCCAGAAGGACTCGCTCGTGTTGCTGGTTGGCGGCTTGGGGATACCCAGCTCGTCCCAAAAGATGTCCAAAGAGTCGGCCGCAAGCCTGCATCACTCGTCTCAAAGCCGGTCCCAACCTTGTGGCTGAAGCGTTTCTTTCTTACTAGCCCCGGCTTTTTGCTAGAACCGGCTCAGCACAAGGCCTCCCCTCACACCTCTAAACAGGTTCACTCTGGGATTCTTTGGGGGTCTGGCTGGCAGGCTGGGGTCGGGGTTGGTTGGCCGCGTCCCCAACATCACCGGCCTCGCTGGGACCTGAGGCTGCCTATTGACTTTGATGTCGCAGTTGAGACTTGCTCGGGACTGGATCGGTCTTAATGGGGACAGGTCTAGGGAATGGGTTGAAAGTTGACTTTCGGCCCTTTGCCGAGCCTAAATGAACCCCAAACAAACCCAAGAAATCTCTGCAACAAAACTCACACGAAACTAGCCCCGAGCAACTGCCACAAATCAAACCCAGTAGGCCGCCTTAGGTCCGAGCGAGGCCAGTGATGCTGGGGACGCGGCCAACCAACCCCGACCGACCGAGCAACCAGCCACCTCACCGGGATTAAGCCACAGCCGGGGCTCTTTAAAAAGAAAAACAAGTTCCCCCCAACCCCCTTGCCTATCCCTGGGCCACCGCCGGCTGGGCCGGAAGACTGGTTTGGCCCACCCATTCAAACTCTGCCCTTCAAAAGGCGGAGATATCGACCCTTCAAAGGAAATTGACAGAAGCTCCCAGAATGCGTACCGCCGTTGACCCAAATTTCGGGAGCTCATGCTGCCCAAGTGCTGCGCCGCCAAGGCATCTGAGGTGATCCAATCAGAAGTTTCATCGCGGTCGCCACCGCTCAGCAATCCGCAGGTCTCCTGGATGGATTCTCCCCCTACTTCAAAAACCCAGGTCGCGCTCGCATCATGCTGAAGAAGGTAGTTTCCGGCATAGCACTTCTTTGGGACAGGAACGGCATCACAAGGGAACCCACGTCAAATGGGTCCAAAAGTTTAAAAGGGTGATGTTCAAAACCGCTAAACAAAACCGTCTGAAAAAGCCCCTGACAATTATCAATTGCCCTCTGTCCTGGACAATGCGCTCGTCACACAAGGCGGGGTACGTCTCTCGGTCATCTGCCAGCTTCACAAGCTCTTCCTTGCAAGCAACCCTTGGCCCAGAATTTACAACCCTTTCAAAGACACCAGCAAACAAAGCAACGTGTCACGTTTATCACCCTTGATGTTACCCTTTGGTGATACTTCGCAACGCTTTCCCAAAAACAAGCAGCGCCAAAGCAGCACAAAAACAAGGCACCACAACTATGCCAAAAGCTGGGAACGAACTACCTTTAAAGCAACCCTTGGCATGTTGGACGAGAAGCCGTTGCAAAACGAGTGACCCTTTCAAACAAATACACACACACAAGGAAAGAAACCGTGCACTGTTTGTCCGCATTGGCGTTACCGTTCCGCAAACTATGCAAAGAGCTGGAAAGATTCTCCCGCCCCATTGTGGACGCGGGCGGCCCTGCAGAGCAGCCCCAGAAAGGCAAGAGTTACGGACGGCAAAAAAGTACCGCCTTGGTCCAGGAACGTCCGCACGTCGACCCCGAATCCCTTTGCAACAAGGCACTTATACCACAGCACCAAACCTTGTCTTGCATCCAGGGTGCACATGTTGATGCGAAAATATTCAGTACATCGGATGTCTTGGCAAACCAACGACTTTTGAAGCCAAACTGCTGCGAAGTGGAGGTGAGAAGCAGCCGTGGGCAGGATCGATGCAATTTAGGTCTGACCCACAATGGGGCCGAAACATGCAAATTCCCTTGATGCGGGTTACCTGTACCAGAGAGGGGGGGTTGAGGGTCCCCCATCTTTCAGCCACCGCCAAGCAGACCGGCTTTTTCGGAACAACCAACTCCAAACCTCTCCATCAGTATGCGGCGGCGTATCAACGAAAAACTCAAGTTTCACGTTTGGGGTCGTCCAACAATTGGGGACCCACCCAATCAATGGGTTCCTTTTGGCTGTCTTTCAAAACCACCAAGCCCTCAAACATTGAAACACCAATTGGAGTTGCTTCAATTTGTGGACCAGAAGTCAATCGAAGAAATCGATCGGTGAGCGGCCAACATCCCGCCCACTGACAGTTCGCCTGGCTTTGAGTGTGGCTCAAGTGTTGAGGGCATTAGGAGTGGCGAATTCGACAGATTCCTCGTGTTCGGCTTCACCTCAATGGCTGTGCAATCTTGACAACCTTACCGCACTTCAGTGTGCCATACACTTGAAGATCTGAAAGTGAGGAAAAACACATGTGGCAATGGGCCCAGTAGGCCAACACCCACTTCAACGGATCAGATTAGAGATTGCTTTCAGGCACCATTCCAGCCCCGCCCAGCCGCTTTGTATTGCCCGTGCAGGCAAAGATCAGCAAACGGGGAGAAAAACAGATTCCCTAATGCTGCAAGCAAAGGACCAGGAGAACTCTTGAATTGAAGAACTCTTGACTTTGCCACAATTATCCGTTCTGTTTTCTTTGCCATATTCAGATGGATCAACTGTAGCTCGCTTGCAGAATCGTCTGCCTGCTCTCTGGTTCCATTCTGTTCCATTGTCATCTGTCATCATTTGTTTATCCAATGACTCCAAACAAGGATTCTGCACGCAGGCTCCGTGTGAGCCCGAAGCAGGCGACTCGGCATGCTTATGGGGATCTCCCGGCATCTCCCGGCTACAACACTTGTTTTGATACGATCTAGACTAAGCCCACCACATGTGACCACTTGGTGTCCTTTTCGTCTGGGGAGTCAACTCTTGCTTGCCGCTTTGCATTGTGTGACATCTCGTATGCCAGCAGCCGGACATACCACGGTGCCGTGCCAAACACGTAGCAGTTGGAGTCCGATAGAACGGGTGTGTGTGCGTGTGTGTTTGGGGAGACGGGGTTCCCTATGCCCAATACGTTCCCCTAAACATGCTCTGCCACAAAAGCCAACTCACTTCAGAGGTGATAGTTGAAACCACCTCACAGACACACAGGGCATGCTATGTGGAAAGCAACCCTGTCTGTGATAAGCACTCGGCAGGGACCCCGGTAGAAAAAGGAAACTTCGTGGGGGTGATCATTTTGAGCGGGGGAGCCATTAGACAAAACTTTAGAGGCTGGAACGTGAACAACTTGGGAACCTGGCTGCCCAAGCTTCTGACATCTGACGTGTCAAAACAAGCGCATTACGACCAAATCGCCCAAAGCCCCCTGGGCTCCTCCCACAGGGCCGCCCCCCAGGCCAGCTCTGGCGCCGGCTCCGAGCCGGAAGGCCCGGCTAAGCGGAAGGCGAGCCTCGCTTGACCCTAACCACGCGTTGGCCAAAGGTGTCCAGGGGCCGATGGTTTGTTGCCCTTTGGCCCTTTGCGTCGCGTTCAATCCGCCAGCCTTTTATAATGGTGCACAAACACGCGTTACGGACGGAGTATGGGGGGCATGCATCTTTTACAAACGCCGCCACTTTCAGTGTTCCTTTTGCTGGATGCAGACCAATCGGTTGGGGAACTTTAAGTCATATCCACCGCACCCAGCTGATGAACAGTTAGGGTGCTTCAGAAACATAAGGTTGCCTTGATGACTTCAGGAAACCTCAGACTGGCTTCACGGCTCTTGCTTGAATGGAGACCCTTCCTGCAGCCTGGTGCCTTTAACATGCTTCGCCCTTTCATACACGGGGTGGTTTCACAAGAGATTGACTTGTCAAAGCTATGGACCGCAGCGTCCCAAGAATTCATACCCAATAGACCCCCCCCCCCACCTCCCACCATGACCAATCTACTTGCCGTCTGCCTGGAAACCTTCGAGTTCCGCCAGGCAGCTCCTTGTCGAAGGCTCTTAAAAGCAGCACGGCCTCATTCGGCACCTTGAACGCCTGACCAAGGTAATGACGAAAGCCGCCACACGTACTATCTGCTTACTTCTGAACTTCTCTCTGCTTTGTTGCAGCATGTTGCCCGGCTAGCTCGGCACAGCTTGGCCCTGGCCTTCTCGACCTCTTGGCCACGGAACTCGAAGCGCACCGCCACCACTAGGCCGGGCTCGTGAAATTCCGCCTGGATCCTGGGCGATTTGTTGGCCCTCCAGGCGACCTGGGCCTGATGGTAAGACCGTGTAGGATAACTTTGTGGCTGACGCTTGTCGTTCGTGTGTTGCCGGAAAACATGGGTGTTGGGCTGCCAAAAAATAGACACATTGACATAGAACATGCGGTAACTCGGGTAAACCTACCATTAGCGTGGCCTTGCATGTTAGGGAAAACATGCAATCTCACCCCATCTGCTTCTTCCAACATGTGTTTGTTTGACCTTCAACTAATGGTTGGCTTTAGCAGATGCGATGTTCTCCAAGCAGCTGATTGCAGCTGTTCAGATGCCTCACTTGCCCACCAAAAACTGTGGAGAAAGCACCAAAAGCCACCACCGAGAGCACTTTCTGAAACATGGCTGTGGGTCAAAACCAACAGTTCCATTTTGGGGTAGGTGCACCACTAGTTTAGTCTATTTCAGTGGGGAGTGGGATGTTCACTGGGGGTACGATTTGGATTTTGATCCACCACATAACACCCACCTTTCTGCCGATGAGCACGTGCTCAGAGCCGTGCGCCAGCTCTGCCCGGTGGAAGATCTGTCTGGCAGCAGCCTCTGCACTGGCTGCTGGCTGCGCTGCCAGAAGCTGGACCTCAAAGGCAAGAGTCCACGTGCCTCTAGGGACCCCCCCCCAACCACGGCTCCATGGATTTCCATGGGAGATACTTATAATACAGGGTTGGAAAGTTGGAAGGTAGTGAACACCATCTTAGAAAGATGTGCCCAGACGTTTGTTTGAGTTTGTGAAATGGGCTGAAAGCAGCCTCTTTAGACATATTTGATTGAAGGTCTGCTTGCTTCACCACAGTTGGCCTGCTCCTGGTCCCCAGCAGCAGCCGGTCGACTTCGATTCAAAAACAAGAAACAAGGTCAACCAGCCGGGGCCATGACTGCAACTGGGGCAAAAACTGGAATGGACAAGTGAGTAGTTGTCGAAGAAAGCTTCGCAGACGTGGATTGTCGAGGCTGAGATGCCATTAGTCACTAGTGGGGTAGGGTTGGGGTCCAAAAAAAACCTGTTGGATCTTCCAATTCAAGCTGAGATGATGATGATGATGATGATGATGATGATGATGATGATGATGATGATGATGATGATGATGGTGATGATGGTGATGGTGATGGTGATGGTGATGGTGATGGTGATGGTGATGATGGTGGTGATGGTGATGGTGATGGTGATGGTGATGGTGATGATGATGATGATGATGATGATGATGATGATGATGATGAAGATGGTGATGATGCTGCTGCTACTGGTGCTGGCAGTGGCAGAAGCCCCAAACGGCTGCCCCTTGGGGCAGTTCATTTGACGGGCCGCAGGGCATCCCAGGCGATTCCTGACCTTGCAGCTAGAGGGTTTGGACAGGCTTCCTCCCATGGCATGCCGCAGGCTCGCTCGCGCCAGCTCCACTGAAGTTGGCTGGGCTGTTTTGGCTGGGCTGTGCTGGGTGCTAGCTCAGAGTCTGAAAAAGCGTGGCGTCATCGTGAGCTCTGGTTCACAGGCAGCTGCAAAAAGTCAAAGAAACACGCTTAGCATACAATTCCTTCGAGCCACACTTTGCAACACGTGCGCATGCAAGATTTCCTTCCGCACCACTACCTGAAACAAAAAGGGGGGGGCTAGCTTGATGACACATCAAATTTCGAAAGGCTATAAAGTCTCAAACCGTACGTTTTTTCGGGAGATGATCTCTCTTGTTCGTGGCAAGCACCGCTGCCCGTGCCTTTCCCGGCCCGTCCTCCCGGCCGCAAGACCCTGGCCCACTCCCGGGCCTCAGCCAAGGCTTTGAACATCTGAGATTTCCCACATAACATGCAAGAACCTCGGAGTGAGCCGAAATCATTTTGTGCATTCGGCAACCAAGCTGGGTGGTGCAGAAAAGGCCCGATTTCACATCTACCTTGGGGATCGAAGTAGCTTGTGTCCGGCAGGGTTGGAGCTGGCCAGCAAGTACATGCAAGTGTTCCGTTTCAGTTTTGTTTGGCTTGCGCTCTCTCCAGCTTTGCAGCCAAGGGTTAGTCCAGCGCTGACAGTGCATGCATAACTCCCCAAACTCATTGGCCCTGTGGCCAATTCACATAGGGGAGCCACAAAAGCGGGAGACAACTAGATTCTACAATTACGCCTCGCTGCCATAATCGCTGACTGGAGGCAGGCAAAACAATGTTTCAGTGGGGATGCCCATTGATTGCCAACTCTGGGAAGGACATAGTAGAACCAGCACAGGTTAGTTTCTTCTCTGCCGTGGGTCAAGGACCCTCCGTGTAGACTTCTCATGGGCGATGTTGCCACCAGGAATTTGCCGAAACCAACAGAGTACATTGAAATCCGCTCCAGGCACCTGGGCCCCCACCAATGTGCAAACGGGCGCCTGGCCCATGCGTACTGGTGATGCTTCACATTGGCGTGACTGCGCCAGGGGGAAAAGTCGCGGTCAAGGCCATGCAGTTCATCACCCAGGCTTAGGCTGCAGCCATGTGATTGACAAAAGAACGCTAGCAAAGCTTCACGCAGTGCCGCCTGCAGTGCCCCAACCAAACTTGGAGAACACAAGCCTTGCCGCAGACATACATTTCACGCTGCCTGCGATCTCCCAAGGGCGTGCAACTTGCTTGCAAGGGTACAAACCCTCATGCTCACTGGGGCAGCCCTCGGATGTCCCCCAGCGCCTGCCATGCCGCTGGCCCCAGGGCCTGGCATCGCGCAGTTTGTTTTGGGTCGAGATTTGATTTGGGAGTTGTTTTTTAGATTTTGTTTGTTTTCCGTCCTGGCGAGTAAAATGCTGTAGTTTACAGCATTTTCTCACGAAATGAACGTATTTTACGCTGGTCCGTCAACATCATCAGCATCGTTTTCAACTTCCCCCGCATGTCCAGCCAACATCCCCAGCATCACCAGCAAGTCGGGGGCCTTGGCTTCCTACATCCTCAGCATCATCAGTTCCTGTCCGGCAAGGTAGGTAGGCATTTATGTATGCATGTTACATGATGGTAAAAGTGAGGACCTAAAACGTAGCGGGAGGGTTGGGGGGGGGAAGGGGGGGCGGCAGGCCCCCATGATGATTGAAAAAGTGATGATTCAATTAGGGGTGCATTTTAATCTCTGCCAAAAATCCAAATAGTAGCGGGGGGGTTGGGGGGTGAGGCCCACTGCCGGGGTGCCTATCCCAGAAGGGAACTGGTACCCTGTGGTAGTAGAGGTCGTTAATTTGGTCCCTGGATCTATTCCGGAGAGAGTCCAATATGCCAATATTGGAGGATTGGAGGATGGATTGTCCCTGGTGGCTTGTGTTGACTGTGATTCCTGTAAAGCGGTCTGCAAGCCTTTTTATCAATGTACCATGAGTCGAATGACTGTACAAATGACTTGAAGGGCCTTGAGCCATCATGTCAGCGGAGTGTGAATAGGTCAATGTGCAACAAAAAGCAACACAAAACAAACACAAATTTGTTTTGACATCTTTTGACCTTTCACACCGAAGTGTATGATTGGCTTCTTGGCCTTACGTGCCGTAGCCATACTTGAAAGTGCCGTAGCCATGTATTGTTACAATGATTCATCCAATTTTGGCGCGGATGATTTGTCATGTGAGCAAAATGGAAAACAGTCTGCGCTGATTCTGTGAGATACCTAGATGTATCGAAAAGGTGATGCACAACGCTATGTACATGCGGGACGGATGTGAAACTATTGATCTCTCACTGAAGAGTCTTGTTGGCGGTGAGGATCAATCTGGTTGAAGTTCGTTGGCTGCTTCATCAGGTGATCAGCGGTACCACCGACGGCTGCTATAGTCTTTCCATTGCTTTGGATTGCCCCAGTACTGCTTGTTGTACTCTTTGTGCTCTTGCTGAGTCCAGGATTGCTTCTTCTTGAGGTGCTCCTTGGATCTCTCAAAGTTGCGTTGCCTGGCGGCAGATCTGCTGCGGATGTAGACCATGAGCGGACTGCGCGAGTCGGAATTTTGTGAGCCATTCATGAACATATCGTTGTTCACGTGCTTGAAACGTTCCGCGGATGAGACCTGATAGTCGAAAATGGCAGACGTCAGATCGTTCTGCATGGCTTCCAGTTGTTCATCTTTCATGGCGTTCATCTCTTCCTTCCGGAAAGCCTGCTGGATATTTGCTTTGCCCCATCCAAACACGAAAGTCATCATCACATCTGGGAATGTTCGATCATACCCTGATCCGGTCTTCATGTATAGGTGATGACGGACGATGGCTGGAGTCTGCTGTAGGTATTCGCGGATTTGTTGGCGTCTCCGGTGATCGCATCGCATTGGTACAATGTCACGAGTGGCATGATTTCGTTCTGAAGATCTTCCCGTGCTGCTCCACGGCTGATTGATGGATGAATGTGAAAAACTCAATGGTAGCAAACGGGAGGTCTGCCCTCGTTACGTGGCGCCTGTCAAACTCGAGGAGTGATTTGTTGCATGATTTTGGGAGCATACCACGATACTCAGCACGCTGCTCGATGTGGAGAACGACAATCTCTTTGTTACGTCCGTGTCCTTGGACAGTGGTTCGTGGTGGCAATCTCGGTCCGATGTACTTCTTGGATTCAGTGAACATGGATGGTCCCGTAGTTGCCAAGCAGTCCGAGGTCGGAATGTCGTATTCAGGATCAGTGCAATTTTCCTCGGTTCCGAACAAACATCTGAACATCCCGAATGTGGTTCCCCAATTCTGACTCTTTGTGGATATGCGCCGTGCCAATAGTTCCACTCTTGCGGATGGTCCGCCGCGGACCATTGCTTGATAGCGATGCCCTTGTACCCAAACCGGATGAACGTCTTGATGAGTTCCCTGGATTTCTCATCTTGAGGACTGAGGAATGTGTCTGCTTCATTTAGGCATAAGATGTGTGCGCTGTTCTGCATCATCATCTTCACGATTGGTCGATCCTTCATCGTCATGTTGTACACCTCCTTGTTGTCCAGCTTTGGATTCCTCGTGAGGTTTCCATGTCATAGTAAGCATGTTGATCGTCAGGGATGAGGTGAACTCATGCGTCTTGAGATGGTCCACAGCAGGACGGTCGGTCGGCTGCATCGGCGATCCCAGGATATCGGCAAACGCTCGGATGACTTCTGGGTTGTCATATGACTTAAGCTTCTTCAATCCAAGTGGAAGCTTAATCGGATATCCTGATACTGGCTGTGCCTTCCTGTACTCGTCCATGGTGGGACATTCTCCTCGATGGTGGAAATAGAACTCTTCTTCTTCGAGGTTGACATCTGGATCGACGTGTGCCAATGAGGCTCTCTTGCATTCTGTCAATTTAGGATGAGCTCCCTTTGGATCCTTGTTGTACTTCTCCATGAAGCGGATGAAGTTCCTTTTGGTCTCCACGAGCTCTTCCTCGGCGTCCTTCTTGCTCATTTCCATTTTGAGGTAGATTTCCTTGAGTTCCTGGATGAACTCGTCTAGGTTCTCGGGATTGTGATACTCCATGGTGACCTTTGGCTTGTCGGATCTCTCCCCGGAGGGTTCCATGTTCTCCTCTTCAACTTCGCCCTGATCGGTGGAGCGCCGTCGCTTCTTGGTCTCTGTGGATGTATCTTTTTTTCGGATTTTTCCTTGTTTTGGTGCTCGTTATTCACATGTTTGAAGAAGGCATCGGCGAATTCTTGGATCTTGCTGGTGTGCATCTCAATGTCTTCACGACCGAGATTTTTCTTCATGATCCAACTGTTACTCATTATGATGTTTCCCTCGGGGTCAAATGCTGTAACAATGTTCCTCGCCTCGATGGTTTGCTCTGTCAATGCTGTTCGCTCTTCGGAGAGTCGGATGTCGTAGTCCTGGTCCTTGAGGAATGCCAGGATCAACAATGCATCTCTTCCTGTTGGCACATGTGTCAATGCTGCTTCTGACGCTTCGTCATCAAGGGTTTCGTCGTCGATGCATGCCATGTGGATGTGCACTTTTCCCGAAGGGTTTGACTGGGATCTCCCAGATTTCAGCCCGTGCTCCATGATGTTGATCAGATTCTCTCCATATGTAGCATGGGGGCATGAACGTGATGGGCTTCTTTGCGAACGGCTTGATCTTTCTCTCTTCTTCAATGGATTGTGGCGCCGGCCTTCGCATTCTGGATTTTGCCTGAGCTGCGCCTTCGTCTTCGTGGGGCGCGCCGGATCTTGACGGATGCGGACTTGGAGGAATGGATTCCGTTGGAAAATCATAGTCCGGTTCTTCTTGGCGAGGCTCACTCTTCTGTTCGGTGTACAGGGGTCGTCCAAAAGATTGGAGATCGACTTGTCGTGTATGATCGCTGTTGCATCTCACGTAGAACTCCATGTCTGGATCATTGAGGAATTCCTTGCCATTAGGCCGGAGTGCGTCACATGCGGATCTAGAGGTGAGGTTGTCGATCCATCGATTTCTTGGAACAATGTCTCCCCTTGCCTTACGCTCATTGTATGACCCGTCCACGGATGGATACACGAACGAAATCTCGAAACGTGCCTTTCCATAGTTCGGAAACATAGCCATCAAGAGAAGTCCTGGCTTATTGCCCACGCAGTTCCTTGCGTGCGTAATGCAGGTCAATGCATCGTAGAGCTCAACGGATCCATCAGGACCCATGTCCACTTGTCGTTTGCATTCTCTGTGTTGGCCTTGCCTTGCATCGTGTCGAAAACATCCGGAAAACAATCTGCTCATTCTCTCGATCCGCCAGAGGATGAGGTCGGTGATCTGTTTTGCCTTGGATGGATCCATGTTGAAATATTTGCAAACCTGTTCAACATTCTGGACGGTCTTCTGGAGATCAATATGGCGGTTGTGACATACCATCGGAATGATGTCGGTTCCGAAAACTTCTGGCTGAGCATTGGTATGGCAGCAAATGCTGTAGACCTTCTTGATGAAGTCCATGTATTGTTTCTCTGTGTGTTGGCCTTCGCCTTGAAGCGTTGGCTGCCAGTAATCATTGAACCTAGCTCTCAGCCAGAATACCTTGACTCCATGTTGTCGTTCATGCTCAGGGATGAAGTGGAAGTCCGGATTCATCTCGAGGATGGTTGAGCACTCCTTGTAGTATTCGTACACGAAATTGAAGAATTTAGAATTCCCGAAAGGTCCTGGATGTACGGATTCCCTCTGGAGGCTGATGCCGGTATCTGATCCATCTGGTACATGCCACCGATCGTTGGATGTGAGAGTTGGCCGCATTGCTGGTCGGCTTGGAAGTGCAGGTCGGTCACCAGGATGATTGTCGGATTCTGTCTCCTCATCCAAGATGTTCTTTGGCGCTGGCTTAATCTTTGACATAAGCCTCAGTGTTGGTGGTGGTGACTTCGTAACCAGCTTCGGATGTGGCATCGCCTTCGGCATTGGGTTTCCTGCGAGAGGTTGCTCTTCGTCATCCAGGTCGTCATCGTTGCCGGTATCTCGATCATAATCAACCTGCTCCATGTTGACATTATCTGGTTGTTGAGAGGCGGATGGATTCTCATCGACGACCTGCTCCATGGGGCAGTCGGATGTCTCACCTTCCTCATCACAAGCAGGGGATTCCTTCAAAGGAGATGCCCGTCTCTTCACCAGCGGCTTCGGTGAAGGAGCCGCAGTGCTGGATTGTCCAAAGATCATGTTGAGAATCGGCATGTCTTCGGGGTGATCAAGCATACACGATTGCAAAGTTCGGAATCGTTGTAGACCGAAAGTGGCTGCGGATGCAG